ATTTCTTAGATGATAACGCTGCTTACTAACCATATATGCTGTGAGAGGTCAAAGCTGAGGTTAAGCAGAAAACATCAATTGAACCGTTCCCCTAAATAAAGCTCCAGGGTGCAATATTCTAAGCACTTTATTCAATAAAAAATGCTTTTAAAATGGTACTTTGGTGATTGGGAAACATTGCTATCATCCGTCAACCTAACTGCAGCAAAGTTCAATAAGCTAAATAATGAGCCATTTAGATTATTTTCCTGAGGCTTCAGGGATTTGCAAACATTGCATCGATAGAGCTCTTTAAAAATTATGATGAAGTCTACTGTTTTCATTTTCACATTTAAAATATGTATTAGGGATTTTTTTAAAGGTTATTTAATGTTCTGCTACTTTTAATCACTGTCCAATTTCCAAAGTAGTATGAAATATTAAACAAGTCAAAAAATTTAAACATAGATCAGCAGTTTCTATGTTATAATTTGTTATAAATTCTTAGTGATCTCTGATCAATGAAATCTCTTTATTGTGAATTCCTAATTTAAGATTCTAAAAAGTATTATAACTTACACAAAAACTTAAAGATAAAAATCCCATATACTCACAACAAAATTTGTATCTATTTTTGGCAGATACAAAAATGTGTCTATATTTGTATTTATTTGTCTATATAAGACAAATATATAATATTTTTTAAACTTGCAATAAAATTTTCCTGCTTGAAGAAAAATCTCTCAATGTTATGACTAGAAAATAATTTTAAAACATACAATCATATGAAATTTTGGAGAGTTTCTAGATTGCTATAATAGAAAAAACAATGTGCTCAACTCTTTGTAGAAAAAAAGAATTGTTTCCTTTCAAAAAGCAGTTCCTATAAGGCGACGGCCCCACCTCCCCATATGCCGGAGGTGGTGGGTTCAAGCCCAGCTCTACCAAGAAAAAGAAAAAAGAAAAAAAAAAGCACTTCCTGTATTTGTCTCAAAGCCTAGCCTAGAATACTAGGGAGGAGGCAATTTATATATCCTAACTACTCATCTTGTCGGTTTTTGACTCCCAAATTTGCTACAGATTGCTGAATCACGCCTTGGACTTAGCAGTTGGAAACTCACACACGCGCACACACTGGTTCCACAAGTGCAACAGAGCTTGGCTACAAGGGATCAGATTCACTGGAGCACCTGGTGTGAAACGCAACCCTGTCTGTGACTACAACAGTGCAGACAGTGCAGACAGCCCCGTAGGGATCCTGCCACTGAGTCCCGGGCGAGGAAGGGGTGCTGCCACTCCACTAGCCCCGAAGTCCCCTCCTACGAGTTACGTTCCAGAATGCCTCAGAAACTGGGGGCAGTTTCCACAGACCACAGTTTCCACTGACGTTTTTCCTCGAGAGAAGCGGTAACATCACTCCCAAGAAGGAATTTAAGTTCCTCCTCACTCAGGGACACAGCCTGATGAAGCCTCGGCATTTATAGCTCCTGTTAAAGGAGCCGAGGGGCGCTGGGGCCGCAGGTGCGCTCCAGCTGCCCTGCATGGCCAGGCTCAGGCCCCGACCCACGGAAGCGCAGTCCTGGTCCTCACAGGACCTGCGCCAGGACCGGTGTCCACATAGAAGACAGAGCCCGGGAGCAAGGGACAGTGCAGACCCCAGGACAACTGACAGGGCCGAGTGTAGGGACCTCAAATCGAACCGTCCTGCCGGCAGAGCGCGCCAATCCCACCCCCAGCTCTTACATTCCCACCGACTTAACCTACAGCTGACTTTTTGTAGCATTCAGCTCGCTGGGCCCTGAGTCGATAAAGGCCACGCTGCCCACCAGAACCTCGACTCCACGTCCTTTCGTTCATGTCTTGGAATAGCCTCTCATTTTGGTGCCGAAAACTGGGATGGGGGAGAAGCCCCCCAGATACACCCCGTGGGACCCACTCCCAATGACAGACTCTTGTTCTGACAAGACAAAGGGAAATTGGGGGGCCCCTCTGACCACCGCCCAGAATTCATCCCTTTAACAGTGAAGTGAACATTCGTCTATGATCCCTTTCCCAGCCTTTTCCCACTCTGGGCTGAAGAGCTCCGGGAGTCCGTGCCTCCTCACTGCGGGCTGGTCGCGCACTAACACGGCAGGTCAGGCTCGCAGGTGCAGCGCCCTGCAGGGGCCGGGACCATCTCTCCAGGCTGGTTATAGGTCCTACAGGGACCGAGCTTCACACAAAGCTCCTTCAGCCTTCTTTACTGAATAAAGCTTTACACATTAGCTTGTTTTTCAAAAGCGTAGCCAGCGGCTTCTACTGGCTGCATTTAGGGTTTCTCCTCAGCTCCTTCTCAGCATGAAGCCCGAGAGGGTGCAGGGAGGCTCCGCCCCAGCACTGCTAGACCTCACAGTCACCAACCCCGAAGTGCGCCACAGACTGGATGGCAGCAGGTGACCCACCCTGCTGTGTCACCCTCCAGCTGTTGCCTCCAGTTGTGAAAGTCAGGAGAAAGCAAAGATTTACTTTTTGGACCCCACACCGGAGTACCGGATAATCAGCATTTCTGAAACAAAGGTGCTAGGCTGTGTCTATAAAAAGACAAGTACTTCAAAAAAGAAAAAGCCCTCCCTACAATCTAGCTGAGGTGCAGACAGATGTAGAAGCCACGTCTCACAGGTCATTCTCTCCCCCACTGTGTGCACAGAGCTGCCTTCAAGAGATGGGATGCGGTATCTAGATCCTGGCAACCTGTGCCACCTCAAGACAGAGTCAGGACCGACCTTCCTGTGGTGTCACAGGTTGATCTCGAGCAGCTTCTGGGGGGTGCCTGCCTCCCGATGGGTCCTCCTACACTTGTGGGTGGTGCGGTCCCTCCGTGGCGCTCGAGTGAGCACCTGCTTCCGTCTTCTAGATCTGGTCCCAGCTGGTTATTACCCAGGAGGCTCCTTTCCTGATTTTAAGCCCGTGGCCGTGTATTCTGACTTCTTACTGAGGACCCAGAGTTTGTTCCGTGTATTACAGTGGTGCTCACACCCGCCAAAGTGATGTCCTTGGCTGCCAGACTGTGCTCACTGCATCCCCACGCTTTCAGGGTGGGGCTTTATTTCCATTGCACAACGTGCTGCCAGAATGCTGTGCGCCCTCATGCCTCTGGGCTCCACATCCTCCCCGTCTGTCCTGCTGCTGCTCAGTCACGCTGGGCCTTATGCTTACTGCATTCCTGTGACGTGCAGCATCCCAGTTTGGCAATTTCATATCCACAGAACCAGCACCCCAATTTTTCCCCACTTCCCTCCCTTTCTTTCCCCTCTTCTCACCTCTTCTCCTCTTACTTCCTTTTGTAGAGACAGGGTCTCACTCTGTCGCCTAGGCTGGAATGCACTGGCGTCCTCACAGCTCACTGTGACTTCAAATTCCTGGGCTCAAGTGATCCTCCTGTCTCAGCCTCCTAATCTGTTGGGACTACATTGTGCTGCACCGCACTGGGCTAATTTTTAAAACTGCTTTGTAGAGATGGGTGTCTTGCTATGCTGTCCAGGCTGGCAGAACCCTAATACTTTCTAAGCTACAGATTTTAGTTTTCTTAACCTGTCAATTAGCTTAGTTTTTGTCACGAATCTTAATATCTATACTCACTGTGGTGATGTTTTTCTTAGTCTTACAATCAACATACTATACAATTTACCTATTTAAAGTACTCAATTCAATAGATTTTAGCGTATTCACAGTTGTGTAACCATCACAACAATAAAATTTAAAACATTTTCCCGTCAGAAGAAACCTCACACCCTTCAGCTACACTGCCTGGCCCCTGCCAATCACGAATCTGCTCCTGCCTCCAGACGGGTCTGCTCTGGACACCCCAGGTAGACTGAGGGACACAGCGTGTGGCCTTCAGTGTCCGTGACGGAAGTGTGACTTCTTCCCAGAGTGACGCTGCCAAGTCTCGCCCACATCACAGCATGTGCCCCAGCTCCACAGCTTGTGACGACTGCACAGCGTCCCCACCCCAGGCCACCGTGTACACTCTAGGCTGAGAGCGTGCAGATTGCCCCCTCCTGCAGTGGCGTCGACATGAATGCGCATGCACAGGTCCTCAAGCCAACGCACGTTCTCGGCGCTCCCGTGCGCAGGGTTGGGGCTGGGGCCGCAAAGCGAGAGAGGCTTCCAGACCGCATGAACCAGCTGCACCTTCCCAGCTGGCACGCACTGGGTACCCTTGGTCATGGCCACTTCACAGGGTGTCAGCTGCCTCTGTTTCTTACCTGTGCCACCATTATGCAGGAAAGGTTTTTCTCTTTTGCAATAAACTTGTTAAACAATTAAAAGATGTCTCTACTTAAAACACTATGATTATCTTTTACCTCTTATTAGAGTGAGGGTGCCCCCTCCGTGGTTTGTGTGCATGACCCATTTTACGGAGTGTTTGAGGAAGCCGGTTTGTCCACACGGCTCCAACAGTTGATCATGTTACAGAACCTCCCCGTGGGGACAAAGCATGACATGCACACGACACACGTGAAGACCACACAGTGATCGAGCAAATCTCTAAAAATTAAAGAATGATAAGTAGTTTGAAATGACTGATTTGCCGTATTTAAGACTGTAACGTTTTTGTTGTTTTAAAAAATTTACCTCCAGATTCTCTGTTGAAATAGATACATTGTATCTAAACTGGCAAAGTGAGTGGAAATTCAACATGCAAACCTGATGTCACTTGGAGATGAGAAAACGCTGGATGCTACTGCTTGTAGTAACATCTCCATGTTTGAACAGCTCTATTAAAACCTATTACGGCTTTGACACAAAATTGTTTGTGAAATGTGTAAGCCCTGAGCTCCTCGTGCTGTTTCCTGTAACCAGGTCTCCAAGATTATGTTGAGTCTGAGACGGCTGAGGTAGGTCAGGACGGCCCCTGCAGCTGGTGGGGCAGTTTTCCGGCCCCCAGCTAAACCCTGTGCTAAAAATCCCAACCAATTCCCCTGCAAGCCCCCCAGAGCATGCGCCGCACACTTGCACAGCCCCCGACCCCGACTGACCTCGTCGGGGCTGGAGGCCTGGTAGGTCCGGTTCTCATCACTGAAGTCCTGATCGGCCTCGGCAACCTCCGTCTCCCCAGCGACACCGGCCTGAGACTCGTACACCGGAGTGACGTTGTGGCACAGCGCGATGGCCTTCACTGCCTCGTGGATTCGGCTGCTGACGCTTTTCCTGACTTTGGGAGCTGCAGACGGGGCTTTTCTTGGTGGAGTTGAACTGGTATTATGTCCACCAGCTTGAGAATGCATCTTTAAAATATAGGATGCCACATAATTAAAGATAAAGCAAAGAGAACTATGTAGTTTGCCATGGAATTAGCGATATCTGGTTTTTAAAAATCAAAGAAGCTAGGGATAAGAAAGCGGCTTGATTCTGGGTATCTCCTATACAGCACTGACTTAGGTGCACTTCGGTTTTATTGTAGTACTGCAAAGTGTTCAATCTGTCCAGGTTTTCCAATGCACCAAAATATTTGCCAGAATACTTAAAATATGATAATTTCCTTTTAATGTATTTATTTCAACCATGGCCTCAATTTGCTAGGTCATTGATAATTATTTATTACTTCTAAAAGCCAGAGTAAGTTAAAGGAAAAACTGAATAGACTCACACCTGCTTTCAGTTTTCCTTAAAAATGTTGCACACAAAACAGTGTAAAAATCTTTCCTCAACACCATACATTGATCCAGCTTTCCAGAGCCTTGGAATGAGACTGTCTTGTTTGGGAGATAACAACAAGAAAACGGGACAACAGCTGCATGCAAAGGACAGTCCCATGTCACAGTGCAAGATGGTGCTCTCCCGATGGCTGCCCAGCACTGCCTGTGGGGGTCCAGACACTCACCTACCAAGGGTGGGGGAGGTGACCATTCACTGCTACCCTCTGGCTGGAGAGGGGGTCAGAGGACACCCCCACCAGGGGTGGGGGGTTACTTCCTCGGTTAACTTGGGAGTAACACATGACAAGCCTCCCTAGAAATGTCTGAACTGGGTGCAGTGCCAGCCAGGTGAGTGCCTCCTGCCCTCACCCTGCAGGGCCATCTAATGAAGGCTTCCCTGTAGGCAGCTGGCGTTGCCTCAGCCAGCGCCCATCGCACCTGCACCACATGTTACAGCGGCAGAGAGACCCACAGACGCCCTCTCTGAACTGTGCTATGTTTATTGATGCTTATGTAATTTGATTTCACACAAATTCCATTAGGGACTATGCCCTCTATCACCGAATACTTCCAAGTGGGGATGTAATCAGGTTATAAAAGATTTGTGTTACATTACAGTGACCTGCTAGACTTGTCATCTTAATAATAAAAAGAATACAAATAAGGAGTCAAATCAATTTTACCTAAAAAGGACTGTCTAATCAGCTAACAGCTTTAGTAAAAATGATTTTTAAAGTCCTCTTAGAGGGAAATAAATATTAAATATTTATTGTGTTTATATGTTATTCTCCTTTTGTTTTAATTATTCCTAGTAAAATAACTTCAGAGCTATTAAAATCACATTCCTGAATAACACAACTTAAATTTTTAAAAATCAGCTGTTATCTACTGCTATTTCAATCTAGACATAAGATTCCTAGGAAGTTATATTCCTTTCCCTTTTCAGATTTTTCTCCTATTAATAAATATTTGAAGTTCCAAAATACTCTGTGTCTAAATGGATTATACCCAAATTAATGAAGTGCTTGGTTGTGTATGTGCTTACGTGTGTACCAGACATTATATGTGATATACACGAGACTTTTTCATTTGGCAGCATCTCAAAAGTAAAGTATATGCCAGATTGTTAATAAAGACAATGTTTTCAAAAACTAAATACAATGTTGACAGTGGAATTCTGCCCTTGAATTCTATCAAGAATAGAAAAACTGCAACAGGAATCTGTCACTTAGTCTAGACTGTAGAAAACCATGCCTAAAACAAATTATTGTCAACAAAAAAGGCCCAGTAGATTTTACAGCTAAGGCCACCCTGTGCAACCCCGTGGAGTCCAGGGCCAGCACGGTGGCTGTGGTGACCCAGGGAGAGCTGCACTGGGTCGGTCTTGGCTTATTTTGTGGATTACTGCATTTCAAACAGAAAAAAGCCTAAGAAAGTGATAATTCTGACCTACTCCCATCTCCTGCACTGGCCTTTTACTTAGATTCCCTTAGATTACTAAGTGTGATCACACTGGACATCAACTTCAAATTACGGCAAGGGGAGAGGCACCGAAGGAGTGGGACACAAACACCCCTGAGGCTGGCTGCATCCTCTGCCACTTGTTCCAGACTTGATCTGTGCACACCACGGCTCTGATGCTCTTGGCAGAAGTGTGGGATGTCAGAAGGAGGCAGGGCCAGAGCACGACTTTGCAGAGCTTGCTGTCTACAGATCTCTGGCAAATGGTACAAGTTCTGGGCTGAATTCTCATGTTGAAGCAAATATAGTTTAAGCATCCCTGATCCAAAAGTCCAAAACCTTAAATGCTCCAAAATCCAAAGGTTTTTGAGACTCAACATAATGTCCAAAGGAAAGACTCACTTAGCATTTCAAATTTCAAGGATGCTCAAATAGTAAACACAATGCAAATATTCCAAAACCTGAACAAATCTGGAATCTGAAACACTTCTGGTCCCACACATTTTGGAAAAGAAATATTCAACCTCCATTTCCTGCTCTCAAACCCTAAGATAGCTCTCTTATGAATCTCCAAGGAAAAAGACAAGATTTCCATAATGTTAAAAAATAAAGGAGTCCTTATTTTTAGGGACACATAATAAATATTTACAGGTGAAATGATGTGACATTTGAGCTTCACATCAAAATGGTATGTGTGAAAACTGTTACAAAGGACACAACTCAAGCACACACGGGCCATGGGGGCTGTAGGCCAGGCTGAGAGGGTCAGGATGCTGTAGCATCTACTTCTGTTTATGGAAAAAGGTGAAAAGAATGACAGAGTTTTACTAATTTTGGAGAAAACTAGAAGAATTGTCAGAAGATAATTTGATGCAGTATTCTACCTCATGTCCTTCAAAACACTATGTTTACCAAATTCTTTTATAAATAATTCACCAAGAAAATTTAATATGAATTACTGCCTTAAGTTCAGTATGTCTTCTCTGATTCTACATGGTCCTAAGGAAGAAACACCTACTCCAAGTTGTCTCCTGACTCACATGTCTGAGTGGACTCAAGCAGCAGGGTGCAGAGGGACCACTGAGCCCAGCTCATTCACAGAGAGGCACATTCCAGCTCAGCCGCCTGTGCGGTCCTGGGGATTCTGAAAGAAGGAAACCAACTTGCCTGTGAGTAAGAGCTCATGATGTGGCTCTGGATCTCATCCATGGTGTCAGTCCCATAGGACACGGTGCCCAGATGGAGACGCTTAAATACCATCTCGTTCCGAGTGAGGGTCCCTGGAGAAAGGGACAGGACAGTGATAGGTGGATTAACATAGGCACCATATTCTACTGTGTATAATGCGCACTTTTTGCCCCAATTTTTAAGACAAAATAAGGAAGCGTATTACATGTAGGTAGTACAAACTTCCTATCTATGTTAAGTGTTTTTAATTATTTTATTTATGCTTATGTATTAAAAGTATAAGCTAAAAAGCAATAACGATATCTGTATGCAAAATAATATCCTGGAATACGGTAATGAGTGTTTTTTGTTTTTTTTTTTTTTTTTGCAGTTTTGGCAGGGGCTGATTTTGAACCTGCCACTTCTGGTATATGGGGCCAGCACTCTACTCCTTTGAGCCACAGGCGCTGCCCTGGTAATGAGTTTTGATGAACTTGCAAAGAAAACATTTTTAGCCAATAAAGAGCAATATATTTCTGTTTCTATACTTTAGGCAGGAGCTAAGCAACCTAACTAATACTTTTACAAAAATCATTGGGAAATCCCTTGGAAAATGCCAAAATGGTTTTCACACACTGTATAAGCTTTAATCTAAAAGTTATTAAACGGGGTGGCGCCTGTGGCTCAAAGGATAGGGTGCTAGCCCCAACTGCTGGAAGTGGTGGGCTCAAACCCAGCCCTGGCCAAAAACTGCAAAAAAAAAAAAGTTATTAAACATGCTAGAGAGCTTGGGGACAGAGCTGCCAAGAGACACTGGGTCCTCCTCCCATGGAGGGTGTGTTCAGAGTGTGGAGGCGGCAGGCAGACAAGCTTCTTTAGCAGCAGAGACAGAGGAAGGCCGTGTGAGGAAACCTCCAGATCTCTGGAGGCGGAGCAGCAGGTGGACACTGGGATTCTGGAGCAGCATCAAACTGCAATCTCTGTTTTGATGATACAAGAGGGTAAAAAGATTGCATGGAAAAAAAAAATTGATGATTTCTCAGGGACACCTAAATGGTGCTATAACTTTACGAAGAGAAAACATTTGAGGATACAACAAAACTTGCCCCAAACGCCTAGCAGCCTATGAGAATCAAGCTTCGGAATTTCATTGTCACGTTATCAGTCTTCAAAAGACTTAGAACTTTGGGCTGTCCTGAATTGCCAGTATGGATTAGGCCCCACTCACAAGTGATGTCAAAAAACAGAACTGGGGATGTCAAAGGAGCAAAGCCCGTGACGGTTTACACTAGTGGAATGAGAAAGGACACTACACTGTTGCTCCAGCCTGTCGTGCACAGGGGAAAAAGCCACCACCTGTGATTGTCTTTAAAAGAAAAAATACTTCCAAAATAAAAAGCCCCAGGTGAGTTACTATCCATGAGCATGAAAAGGCAGATGAACGAAGAAAGCATGAAAATCTGGTTTAACAAAGTCTGGTCACAAAGGCCTGGAGGATTACTTCAAAAACAACTTGCTTGTCTTTGATCACTTCAAAATCCATGTCCCACAAAGTGCAAAAGCAATAACAGTAGACTCGAAAACCCAAATTGCTGCGCTACCTGGTGGGCTCACGAGCCACCTGCAGCCTCTTGATGTGTCAGTAAACAAGCCCTTCAAGGCCCTAACGAAGTGGACACTGTGAGTGCCTTATGCTGGTGATGATTTAACACCCACAGGCAGAATCAGGAAAGCATCCTTTTGGCCTTGGTTTGTGATTGGATCCTAAGACCATGGAACAAGGTCAAAAAGAAGTGGTTGTGAAATGATTTAAAAAATTCAAAATCAGCAATGCTATAGATGGAAATGAGGATGATGAAATTTACTGGGATGAGGAAAGTAACTTCTAAGAAAACACCAGTAATGCAGAAATTGAAGAAGACATTATTTCTGATTCTGGCAGTGATGAAGAGCTCTTCTATGGTGCATAAATACTATAAACATGTTCCTGGTATGTAAAATTTCCTGTACTTTGTATCTGTTCTTGTGTTTTGTAATTATTTGTTACATAAAATTTCAGAGAGTACCCTTTAAATGTAAACATAATGTTAATCTTCCACCAGGTCACACCCACCAGGACCTGTGATGATCAGCAAGGCTGTCAGTGGTGCTCACACCACAACCACGAGAGGTGCTGAGCCACAGAGTTGGTGCGAGGCCCTTGACTCGGTTTTCAGCATCTGCTCGTTACACACTTATCCCCTTGATGATAAACGTTGGTACCTGTTTCCTTGTAAAAAATTATTAAATTCTATTTTCCACAAATAACTTGCTAATTTTATGTACTTATAAAGTTTTAAGATTAAATATTTCTATAATAAAATATTTTGGTTTTAATGGGACAATCTTTGAAATTACATGTGTTTGACTTCTAGGCCACAGCATAGGTGGCCTGAAGTGTTCTTCACTATCTGAGGAGTCTGGCAGGAGGGGGCTCCTGGTGTCAGGGCCTCGATAGGCCACCGTGTGGTTGTCCCTTGGGGACGCCCAGAAGGCCGCCTGTGTGGCTGAGACACCTGATGCAAGTCACAGCCCTTATCAACTAATTCAGTGTCTGGAGACCATGGTGAGACTCACATGGAACAATGTCTGTGACCCGTGAGGTGGGCATTTTGCTACTTTTCCATATACAGGCAATCCCCTCGGGCCCTGGGTTACAAACCAGATAGGTTCTGCATGTTTGCTCTTCAGTTAAATTTGTATGTAAGTTGGAACAGGTATTTACCTATTACCTGTCATAGTCCCCGCATGTGGAAGCGCTGCCTTCACACACTCATGTATGCGCGTGAGGGACACCCAGCACAACTTGTCCAGGAATATGTCTAGGCAACTCCAAGGCTCTAAACAGTGATCACAGTGAAGAAGCCAAAATCACCTGAGCTGGGTAAATGTCACACCGAGCACTCAACTGAGTTACTTGCAGAAAATGGCCACAACTTACTATTAATACATAATTTACCAAAACCACAGAAATAGAACAGAGATAATATGAGTAGGGTTTTGTAGGGCTTTAAAAAATAACTTGAGCACATCTGCAAGCATCGGCACGGCTCTGGAGATTGTTCTTGTTGCACATATTTTAGAAAAGAGCCGTGTGGGAGATGAATGGCACATGTGGGGCAAAATGTGTGCACAAAACGCAGCCACCTTGGGGGAGGTGAGGGGGGCACCGGGTACCTCGGACAAGTGTGGAGAAAGTTGGGATGGTCCATACATCCCCACTCTGCTCTAGGCTACAAGACTGGGCCTTTCCATCTGTGCTTTATACACCAGCCCTTTCTGTCAAAGTCATCAATATCTCCTTCCTAATGACAAAATTAGGTTAAGATTAGATATAATTACTACGTAGTAGTTCAGAGTCTCATCAAGGCAAAACATAGAACCCTTGGTTAGCTATTTTTTAGTTTATTAAATAAAACGCAATATAAAAAATTTTTATAGTACAATAGAATGCTCTACTAAGAGCATTTACAATACTATGAAAATCAAATGAAGAGGAATTTTGATCTGGAAGGTACAAGTCCCTAGACTCATTGCAATCAGAAGTGAGCTCCATGACGATGGCAGGTCCCAGAGATGCTGGCCCAGCAGACCATCAGGCTCCACCTGCCAGCTGTCTCAGTAAAGAGTAAATCTGGTTAAAAACATGCACATATAAAACAAAGCACTATCTTTGCAAGCTCTTTGAAGTATGATGATGGTATCTTAAGAGGGACTACATTAAATCTGTAGATTGCTTTGGGTAGCATAGACATTAACAATGCTGATTCTTCCCAACCATGAGCATGGTAGGTTCTTCCACTTGTTAATATCTTCAGCTATTTCTTGTCTCAGAGTTTCAAAGTTCTCCTTATACAGACCTTTCACGTCCTTTGTTAGATAAATTCCCAGATATTTCATCTTCTTTGGCACTACTGTAAAAGGAACAGAATCCTTGACTATATTTTCAGCTTGACTATTGTGGGTATATACAAAAGCTACTGTTTTATAAGTATTGATTTTGTATCCTGAGATGCTGCTGTATTCCTTGATCACTTCTAAGAGTTCTGTAGTTAAGTCTTGGGGTTTTCCACGTATCATATCATCTGTGAAGAGTGAGAGTTTGATACCCTTGATCACCTTATCTTGCCTGATTGCGATGGCTAAGATTTCCATGGTGAAAGTGGGCATCCTTGCCTAGTTCCTGACCTGAGTGGAAATGTTTTCAATTTTACTCCATTCAATATGATATTGGCTATAGGTTTGCTGTAGATGGCCTCTATTGATTTTAGAAATGATGCTTCTAAGCCTATTTTCTTGAGAGTTCTGATCATGAAAGGGTGCTGGATATTATTATTATTATTATTTTTTTTTTTTGCAGTTTTTGGCCGGGGCTGGGTTTGAACTCACCATCTCTGGCATATGGGGCCGGTGCCCTACTCCTTTGAGCCACAGGCGCCACCCAGAGATGCTGGATATTATCAAAAGCTTTTTCTGCATTAATTGAGAGAATCATATGGTCTTTGTTTTTTATTTTATTTACCTGAAGTGTTTCATTTATAGATTTGCATGTGTTGAACCAGCCTTGTAACCCTGGGATAAAACTGACCTGATCATGGTGTATAACTGTTTCATTGTGTTGTTGAATTCTGTTTGCTAGGATCTTATTGAATATTTTTGCATCAATATTCATTACTGATACTGGTCTATAGTTTTCTTTTTTTGTTGGGTCTTTTCCTGGTTTGGGGATCAGGGTGGTATTTGCTTCATAGAAAGGGTTGGGGAGTATTCTTTTTCTATGTTTTGGAAAAGGTTAGAAAAAACCTTGAATAGCAAATACACTACACAGAAATTAAAACAGATCAGGAGGTATCACGTTACCAGGCTTCAGGCTATACTATAAATCTACAGTGATCAGAACAGCCTTGTACTGGCACAGAAACAGAAAGGTAGATTTATGGAACAGAATAGAGAATCAAGAGATGAACCCTGACACTTATAGTCATTTGATCTTTGACAAACCTATCAAAAACATTCAATGGGGGAAAGATTCCCTGTTTAACAAATAGTGCTGGATGAACTGGTTCACAACCTG